GGGACCATGCAACCCAGTCGAGAGACTCCCCTAAAACACCGCGCGGGAAAACCCCCAAACCCACGGCCCGTCTTGGCCTTGGTCGTGGTGGAGCGCCCCATCCCTATCACCCCCTCAGGCCCTAGCAGAAGAGCGGGCGCCCCGCCCCATATCCTGCACGCCGGTTCTTGCTGTGGCCGCTTCTCCCGCCTTTACCGCAGCAAAGGCCTCCTCCTGGACCCTCGGTGCCAGCTGGGCTGCTCGGACATTCTGGGCGCTGGGGAGCAGAGGGCTGGCACCCGAAGGGGAGAGGGAGCTTCCCCACTGCTTGTGTCCAGATGGACTAAGGGTTCAGACCTCAGGACCGGGAGGGCAGAAACTCCCGGCCTCCCTGAGCCCAGCCACCCACTCCTGTGTTACTGGAGTCAGCCTAGAGCGTTGGGCTGTCAGGTTGGAGGGGCTGCTTGCCCAGGCCAGCTGGGACTGATGGACCCTTCCTGTGTGGCACCACCGGCTTGGAAACTCCTCCCTGTCGGGCGGTCCTAGCTCCCTGGTCCACCAGGAAAAAACTTGTTTTGAACCCACTCAGGACTGTGGTTGAATGGTTGGGTTCTGAGGAGACCCACCCAGACCCCCACAGGCTGCCCAAGGGTGGGCGAAGCAGTGGGAGGAGGATGCCCTATGGTGGGTGCAAAATCACAAAGGAACAAAGCTGGGGCAGCTTCTTCTTGGACTCCCCAAGTTTGGGCCAGGCCAGGACCGCACAGGGAAGGACTGAGGCGCCTCTGCTCCTCCACCAGGTTCATGGACATCAGGAGACACGTGGGGGGGGACCTCCAGGCTTCCACAGGGGGGAGGCTGTGAGCTGAGGGTCTGCCCAAGCCTCCCCTCCATGGAAGTCAGTGATGGCGGCAGAGGGATGTCCTCTCGCCACCACCAAGCTGAACATTAGACGGGTTGATGTCACCTGGAATCCTGAGGACAGCAGGATACAGGACAAGGGCTAATAATGACCATGCCTCCTCACATCTCACATCTCACATTTTGGGCTCAGGAATCGGCACAGATGACCCCTAGGAAAGATCCTCTGGTCTCTACTTGGGCGAGGAAGGGCTCAGGGGTGCGCGAGGACTCTGGTCAAGGCCAGTCTGTGGTTCCAAAGGCTTGCTGGGGTTTATGAGAGGAAAAAGCGGGGTACTGGCCGGGAGACCTGGCGTCATAAGGGGGCCTCAGGAGCAGACTGCAGGCCACAATAGGGGAGGCGTGACGATGTCCTGGAGGGCATGGTTTGACTTGTGTTGCTGGTTTCTGGCAACCTGGGGTACAAGAAGAAAAAGGGGTGGGAGCCCTGACCAGGACTCACAGCCTGGTTTCTGAAGTCTGAGTAAACTATGAAGTGCGTTCTTGCCAGGGAGGGGAGATGGAGTGGGGGCTGTCACCATGGCAGCCTTGGCCAGCACTGGGCAAGAGGGCAGCTGCAACGTAGCAGAGCAGCGGGTGGCTTTGTGTGAAAAAAAAGTGACATGTCCTCCCATGCCCTGTGTTCTGGATGTAGATGGATGGCATCTTAGGTGTCAGTAGGGCTGGGGCCACGGGTGTCCCAGGCCCCTAAACAAGTGCCACAACCTCCAACTAGGCGGTTTCACAGGACGGCCCTGCTGTCCTTCCGGGGCTCTTGCATGTCCTGAGAACAAACCCATCCTGTGCACAGACATCCGCGACGAGCCCAGCCCTTCTTTCACCCGTGCCAGTCTCCCCGAGCTGAGGACGTTTATTTTCTCAACTTTATCAAGGAGGCACTTAGTTGAAGGAGCAGAAATTCTCACCCTAAGTCTTGGGGGTGTATTCAGACATCATGGGCTGGGAAATGAGTCCTGTTCTGTTCAGCTTCCCACTGCTTTATTTGGGTCAAGGCTCTCTTTTTGTTTCCTGTTTTGCTTTAAAAGAAACTTCAGGTTAGTTTATCTTATTCAAAAAGCATCTGCCTCTGGGGTTGGCAGGTGGCATGGTGGTTGAGGGTGCTGGACTCCCACATGGCTGACTGTGGTGCAAGTCCCAGACCTGGCAGCTTACTTTCTCACTTTCTCTCTCTCTCTCTCATCAAAATAAACAAATAAATAGATAAATAAAGTTAAATAGAATAACTACGTTTTTTAAAAAGGTGTCTGCCTCTAAAGCATTCTTTTCCTTGCAAATATTTAAAGCAAGAAGTGTAGACACAGGCCTCTCTGTGTATCCATGATCCTCTCAATGTGTCCTCCCAGATCCTAAAGAAAATTCAGCCACAGCGAGGCCAGAGTCTCAACATCCTAACCCCTGAGCAATGGTTCGGGTCCCAAATCAGGGAGAAGGGGGGTCCCTCGTAGACAACTGGACTTAGGGCTGTGAAATTGTTTGGCATAATCACGGCCCCCAGGCCCTCCTGGGAAGCAAGGCCGATGCTCTGCTAGGGCAGACCATAAGGATGGACTGAGTGCCGACCCTGGGGACATCCACACAATAAGTGATGAGAGAACAAAGACATTTTTAATTTTTAAAAGGAATTATTTAGTTTTATTTATTACTATTATTTCTTTTGAGAGGCTTTTGCCTTAACGTGTGTGCGCTTGCTGGGGAGAGAGAAAGAGACAGACACAGTGAGAGGAAAAGTGAGAAATCGCTCCTCAAGGGGTATGGCTATGCCATAATCCCTTCTCCTCCATTCTCCTGGAATCTTGGGCATGCATGCACAAGTGCCTGACCTGAGTTTAAAGCCACTGGATCCAAGACTTGAACCATGATTGGCCATGTGGGAATCCAGCAACATAACTGCAATCCCATCTGCTTGTCCCTATTATTATTTTTTAATTTGCTAAAGAGCACATGCACACACCAGAGAGAGACAAGCACAGAGAGAGAGAGAGAGAGAAAGCAAGCCACCAGGTCCAGAGTTCAAACTGCAGTCAGCCGTGTGGGCGTCCAGAGCCTTAACCACCATGCCACCTGCTGGCCTATCAAAGACATTTTATAAAAATCAACCACGGGCTAGCTGCATTGCTTAGTGGTTAAGGGAGCCAGGTCCCGTGTGTTCAAATGTGGTTCATATCCCAGACTAGGTAGCTTGAAAAACATGCCAGGCGGGGCCAGCAGGTGGCATAGTGGTTAAGGTGCTGGACTTCCACATGGCCGACTGTGGCTCAGTCCCAGACCCAGTGGCTTGAAAATCACTCTCTCTGTGTCCCTCTGTCTCTCTCTCTCCCCATAAAGTGCACGTGCCCTACTGGAAAACCTTACAAAAAAAAAATAAAATAAAAAAATAAAAAAGAAAGAAAAGAAAAAGAGAGAGAAAGAGGAAGAAAGAAAGAAAAACATGGCAGGTGTGTGCTCAAAATCGAAGGGTTTGACTGTGGCATGGCTTTTCCTCATGGGGCAGGGCTGTGCTTCCTACTTCCTCTTCTCTCCCTTCCTCTCTCTCCCCTTGTTGAGTTCATACACCCTCCGACAATTAAGAAAACATAATTCTAACAGAATGGAGAATTAAGAGAAGGGATTGTGAGGTGACCATCCCCTATTAGGGGTGTTTTCTCTCTGATAAGAACACGTGGCCTCTGGGAATTAAAGAATGAACAACAATTGGACCAGCAACTGGCGTAATGGCTATGTCGCTGGACTCATGGAGTCAATGTGGTTCGAGTCCCGGATCCAGTGGCTTAAATTCACACTGGGTGCATGTGCATGCATGCCCAAGATCCCGAGAGGAAAATGGAGAAGGGATTGTGGCGTGGCCATCCCCCCAAGGAGTGATTTCTCGCTTTCTATCTCTCTGTCTCCCTCTGACTTTCTGGTGAGCACACACGCCCTATAGCAAAAACCTCTCCAACAGAAAAACAAAAGAATGAACAGCAACAACAGAAAGGACCAACACCACCCCCTTGGTCGCCTTGTGATGTGTATTTTTAAAAATTATTTATTTAATTTTATTAATTAATTTATTTTTATTTGTCCACATTGAGAGAAAGGGGGGGAAAGTGAGAGAGCAAGCTGCCAGGTCTGGGACTCAAACCGTGGCCAGCCATGTGGAAGTGTCCAGCACCTTAACCACCATGCCACCTGCTGGTCCCTTTTTCTCTTTAATTATTTATTTAATTTTATTTATTAATTCAGTTATTTTAATTTGTCCAGAGAAAGAGGGGGGAAGTGAGAGAGCAAGCTGCCAGGTCTGGGACTCAAACCGTGGTCAGCCAAGTGACGTGTCTTATAGACAAACTATAAACAACTGTAAGCAAATCTTTACATGTATTATGACTCCATCAATAATGGCTATATTGAATAATTAGACACATACACTCAAATCCAACCTGCTCTGCCCGCTTCCTGGGTTTATAGGTTCTTTTACCACGTGAGAGGTGACCCACAGTCACTCCTTCTGCCCTGGTCTGAGCGACACCCTGGAATGTT